TATCTCTAATAAGGAACCTGGTAGAAAGAAATGCCACCGCAATGCCTCTCAGAATGAACAGTGGCATAAATCTTATCGATTAAGTTCTACTCCTTTTAGTCGTTGAAATCATATCCTTATCTCTAAGGTGGATTGGGTCTTAGTTAGTAACTAAAACCCATTACTCACATTGATATTCACCTAGCTCTCTCGAATACTAGGCATCGAAGTTAAGAAATGACTACTCTCGTAGCTCTTACAATCCTAAGTACATAAATACAATGAGCAAAGCAAATAATAAACAAAAAACTTAAACCATTCATTAAAGCAACAACTTAATCATCCATAACTAATCCGCACCAAATAAAGTTTAGTTCATGGTGGGGTACAATTCATCCAAAGAATTCATTCGTTCCATAACAACCCACAAAATATAAATGAAAATGAAAACACAAAGGTGAAGGAAAACTCCCAATGCACGCTGTCGTGAGCTCCCTTGGACCACCGTGAACCACCTTAGCGATGCTAACTTCCCTCAAACGCCTAGCTCGCCACCCCCTTGAGCTTGAAAATGGAGAAAACCACTAAAAATGAAAAGGGGAAGAAAATGGAAGCTTGTAGCCACCTTTCACTCTTATTTAGCTTATATTTTTTTCTGAAAATAATTTTTTTCTTTTGTGGCATCATCTTCTATTTATACTAAGGGAATGTCCTAGGGTTTTATGCCAAAATTCCCTTAGTACCCTTGGTAACATTCCTTACGTGAAAGAGTGTACAAAATTTTCAGTGGTCCTCTCCTATGTGGCTACAGCAGGAATCACGTGTGGGGTGGTCAGCTGGCTCTTTTATAAAAATATCTTCAATCCTTTTGTCTTTTTTTGCACCCAGAAATGTCGTCCTAGCAGTCGTGGCATTTTCCTCTTGCTTCATCATCCCAAATTGTTGTGGCAATTCTACTTGCTCAACTTTTGCTCTATGAACATGCACACATCAGCCAACAATACCTTCCCCGTAAAGCAACACCATTTGCAGAATAAAATGCCATGGTAATTTGAATCCACCAAATGCTACATGATCCTAAATGCATCTATATGAACCTAAATGTGCCCTAAGACAACCAATAACTTAAATAAAAAGGCCCTAAATATAACATTTTTACGGAGTTATCATTTTCCAATTTTGTAATTTGGTTACTATTTTCGAATTAAAATTTAGGTCGAAACTTTTCGATTTCTAGGGTTTTAAATTGGGATTTTTTTGGTGTGTTGCACAGTCAGGACTTTTAGAATATTTTTCTTCAACTCTATATTTTTTCAAGAACCTGTGTCCGAAACAAATCCTTTCATGGAAATCCAAGTAGCATATATCTGCCTACATCGAAATTTTTAATGATGTACTTAAGCTATAACAAATATGTGTTACTGATAAAGGAAATATATTTAGAAAAGTAAAGTATTGTTCCCAAGTAATGTTTTCTTGTTTTCAAAGTAAAGCATCCATGAAATGAATTAAATCTTCTCTCTGTTCCCATTGGATGATCAAATCTCATCATGAAGTATCTAGCAACATATGCCATGAAAAGTGTGACTTAGGCCAGGATTCTCACCAGCCTTCAATTCAATTACCTTTTCCCAATGTCACATCAGTGTAGCGAGCTCCATCATCGATGAAGAAATGCATCTCATTGATGAAAGAACACCGGTGACTAAGGTTAGCAGTAATGCAAAAAAAAAAAACCCTGTTTTTTCACGGTGTTGTCAATGCAAAAGCTAGCATGAATTCTATCAGCGTATTTCAAAGTCAATGGCCGTTCCTCTTGTTTTAGCAATAATGTCGTGTTTCCATCCAAGCTAAAGCGAGCACTCTCCTAAGCCATGTGACTGAGGTTAGCAGCATCTTTTAGTTTAGAAGTGCAGCAGAACTGAGGAAGTCAATTTCAGGATTGTGAGTGATTGATCAAAAATTTTAGGGAGTCAAACCTAGCATGTGTAGTTGTATTATGTGGAAAATGATGTCAAATCACTAGTATAACGCATCATATCAGTATTCTGCCAATCTAGTAACGGTTGTTAACAACGAGCGATCAATTTGTTACAAATCAATAACGTTAGTGACTAATATTACTTTTAAAACTTAAATAGGAAAACGAAAAACTTACTCAAACGTTATTTATGATAAAAAAATTTAGGGAGTCAAACCTAGCATGTGTAGATGTAGTTTACCCTTTTTTTTATCATTGTGTAATGTGTAAGGGTGAGAAAGAGAGAGAGAGCTCGGAGAGGGAAGAAACATAAGTAGACTATAGAACAAAGGAGTTGGAGTCACTAAAGGAAAGTAGTTAAAATATGGCAAAAAGGCATCCCAGCCTTGTACTTTTAAAAAAATTAATGTAATCCTTGTACTATTTTTTATTTCAATGTGACCCTACAACTTAAAAAATAGATTCAATGTGACCTTTTGGCCAATGTTTTTCAACGTTGACCATTACAATGCTGACTTGATAGTCCATGATGTTGATGTGGTAGTCCACTGTGGCTGATGATGTGATAGATGAGAGATTGTTTTTTTATTTTGCTCGAGAGCCAACTTGATTTTATTTAAAAAGTTCAAGGACTTATTTAATTTGTTTTAAAATAAAAATATTTTAAATTATGAATATAAATTATTCAAATATTGCAAATTAAAAAAATTAAATTATTAAAAAATTAAATATTCATATTAAAATTATTATAAAATTTTAAAAGAATTTGAATATATATCATAGATTATAAAATGATAACTTATAAATTATCATAAAAATTTAAAATATTTTTAAAAAGATATATTATACATAACATACATATGTAACATATATACATATTACTATCATTTATACAAAAGAATTATAAAATTTAAATTAGTCGAGACTTATATTTTAGATTAATCAAAACTTATTATGTTTTCTAATAAATTTGTTTTCAAAGGGCCATTGCAGAGTTGAATGTCCACATTCAGAAAAAAATAATACGAGTCTCATTGGATTTTTTTTGAAGAACAGGACTTGGGTGTCTTTTTGCCATAAAATATTTTAGGGTTTAGATTTTAAGCGTGTGTTGTATTTGAAGGTAAAATAGTATTTTAATATAAATATATTTATATATAAATAATTTGATTAGATTCACGAGTTATATAAATCAAGTATTGAGATATTCAAAATCGACTCTTTCAAATATACAACACATTTTATAACATTTGTTCAAATATATTTAAAAAAAAATAGATAGCTAGCATATTCTTTATCACTACAATTAATAATTAGTTTTTATGTGTATAGAGAGTTTTCTTTTGTCCTCTAAAATAAAATTTGTTTTGAATAATCTTATAGTTTATTTTATATTTGACCTGTATGTTAAATAATAATTTAAATGAAAGGATAAAAAAAATCCATGCTACCAGAGACTGGTCGAAAGCAAATGAAGTGACATTGATTCAACTTTGAAAGTTGCAATGATCTAACTTTACATAATAAATTTAGGATGAAATTAATAATGAGATGCGTAATGCACTCAAAGTATATTATGATCAAGATCGAAATTGGATAATAAAATATAAAACATAATTCAAGATGAAACTAGAAACATCAGATCATGTCAAGAAGGTGTTATTTGGATCACAGATCTTGTTGTTCTGCAACTATTTTCTGAATTGGAATCGGTAAAACGTTTCAACAGAAAAAGACCACTTTTCCCATTACTGCTTGCAATTACAGTGACACAAGTTCTATACAAAACTCAAGATCACACATGTAGGTATAAACCAGCAAGCATTTTACTGAATTTCTACATCAATAACTTTGCGTTCAACTTTATTCTTAGGAATGGAGATGAAGGGAACTCCATTCTTCACCTCTGCCTTGATTTTTTCTTTATCACAGTTGTCTGGTAATTGGAGACGCGTATCATAGGAGCTGTAATTCCTATTTGTCCATTCATCGCTATTTTCTTCCTTCTTGTGCTCTCCCATTATAACCAGAACATCGTCCTCCACGGAGACCTTGACGTCTTCTTTTTCGAGTCCTGGAATATCGAATCTCATCTTGATCTCATGTTCATCATCTTTGATGTCCCAAGGTGCACGCACCTCTCCTCTTCGGCCCGTGCTAGGAAATGTCACAGAATCCTCCAATATCCAGTACATTGTGTCCAGCATTTGACGCATCGATCTCATAGGCGACAAAGGGTCCAACAAACCTGCTATCCATGGATCATGTTATGCTACTCCGAATGATTAAATCAAATATATATAAAAAAATTGCACGAGATTAGGACTGAACTAAAAAATACATACCAAAAGGAGAGACGTGCATGGCCAACCGTTTAGGCCTCTTCTCAACGGCTGTCCCATGGCCTTTATTATCCTTGTTAACGTGCACGTCCACTGATGTGTCTCTGTTATGGTCACCGGTAGCATGTGGCCTTACAACAGAACCGGCTGTTGGAAGAATGCTTGAGAGATACAGAGCATGGAGTTATAGCTTTGGTGGAATAAGGGAGATTAGCCCTGTTTGATGCCAATGGTGAAGCTGAGCAAGACAAAGTTGAAGCCATTTCCATGACAGACTTGAAGAATTGAGTGAAGAAAAGTTTATTGTTCTGCCAATGACTTTGTTTTAGCTAAGGGAAAGGAGGATGGTGAATATATATAGACGATGGGGAAGAGTCGATGCCATGCTTTTCTCATTAAAGGAAGTTTGGAGAGGGATCCCGAAAGTGGGAGTGGGGGTGTGAAAGTTCTGGACTTGTCCTTTACTTTGAACATATTTGGGCTTCCATGTGTCCCTAGTAGCAATTGGCCTCGTGAGATTGGGGAAAATTCAAGCTCGTCAATTGAAATGACAAGTTAGCAAATTGTGGAGCAATCTTGTCAAAGGGAGTTGACATAATGACAGTAATAAGTTCTTAAAAACATCAATTATTGAACAATTGAGAAACCTAGGATCATAAGTCAACTAGGTGATTCATTTAGACCATACAAAAAAACAAGAACAAATCCGTTTGTAGGAAAATTTGATTTCGGACAAGAGGGAGTGGTAATATCCTTTAAGCCAAGCATCAACTGATCTCAGGTTTGACCCTGGAACTAACAAGTGCTGGGCTGCTACCGCCGCCACTGCTATCAGACAGTGAAGCAAGATCTTTATGTAATACACCAGACGGCGAGGACAATACAGTCACCGTTGGACTACAGGACTTTTCCTTTCCGGTGACAGCATATGATAGGTTCGAGCTGCTTTAGGTGGCGCTCGGCCTTAAAACCTCAGCTAGTGCACCACCAGGTGTGGAGGCAGGCCAAGGTGCAGGGGCTAACAAACTTGAAAGAATTGATTTGGAAGCATATTCATCGATCTCATCGTACTCGTTCACTCCCAACCCCATACGGATAGGACCCATCTCATTATCCGTGATGGTATTGACTCCCATTAACTGGGAAAGTGATGAAAGAGAGGGTTTCCCGTTACAAGAAACGGAGGCAGTGTTGTCACCTGATACACCAGTAGACCACGCATCAATTAAGCCTGTACGTGAACCTTCACCGGACTTGTGTAGCGGAACTATTTCAGAGTTGAGAAACCAAGGGCAAGTATTGCATTGTTGATCTTCTGCAACATTGAAATTTGGATACGAGATCAAGTCTAGAGGTTCCTTGTCATAAGCATTGGACAAATAACCTTCAGTATCTGCCCCTGTTTGCATGAGATGATGCCACTGCTGGTCAGCCATGGGAATGAATTCATTCGTAGTCCAGTTCGAGGTCCTACAATGACGGGGTAATATGGCCCAAATTGGTAAAAAAAAGCATAATAAAAGATTAAAAAATCACAAACGTTTAAATCACCTGGGTTCCTTGTAGGAAGAAACAGAGGTGAGAGGCCAAAAAGTTGCAGCTTTTTCACTTGGCTTTTCAAGAAACCAGTGATCTTGTTCTGCTGGAAGGGCTGACGCTGAGAAGCATCTAGTGAGAATGGTGCAGGAAGATGAAGGAAGAGATTGACCATAGGTGGCTTGACGAGTCCTCTTGTTAGGAAGTTCCGCAGGCTTTCTTGAACGGGGGGGACGACCTCTATGCAAGTGGCGCTCACAGAACTTCTGGTCAGGCGCCACATCTCTTGAGCACCTCCATTTTTTCCCATCTGTTCTCTTGCACCTCCCTGGTTCAACATCCCTTCTACCTGCCAACCTTGGATTTACGGCACCATCACCAAAAGTAACCGAAGCCGAGGGGATTCCGGCGATGGGGATGAGGAGATCAGGAGGCACAGGAACGGAAGCCATCATGTATTCGTAAATCCTAACTTGTATCTCAAGCTCCATCCGCTGTGAAAGTGTAAAAGGAAATTCCAAAGATGCCGCCATCCCTCCTGTTACACAAATCAACCATCATCCTCTCAATCAAACAGACAAAAGTTTTTTTTTTCTTGTGGTTCTTTTAGAAAATATGGAGGAAAGAAATGGACTTTACATTGACTAGAAGAGAAAAAGGAAGAAAATTTCTACCTGGGTATGTGAGCAGTAGAGTTTGATCGGATAGATAAAAATGTAATCAATAATTTGAGAAAATAAAATTGAAAGTTAAAGAAATATAAATTTTATGTGAATTTTTTTAAATAATATAAGTAAAAATTCGAGTAAAAGTAAAAAAATTTACTATCTAAAAATATGAATTATAACTCTCTTGATCTAAGAAAAAAAAATAATAATAATTCATAAAAAAAGAGAAAATAATTCTCAATAAAACTTTATAATTTTTCTAGTTTTGAGAGAAACCTAAAATGATTTTAGTTGGTTTTGAAGTTAAACGAATTAAGTTATTTATAGTTAAAATTTAAGGATTAATATTGTAAATATACTAAAATATAGGTATTAAATTGGGTAATTTTCTTTTGTCAATTTTCAACCAAAATCTATGGTGAATCTTAAATCTATCCATTAATGCACCGAAATTCTTTGTCTTTTAATGGCTGATTTTTTTTTTTTTTTGAATAATTTATTGTTTATCATTTTATATAGTGTTTTTAGTATTTATTTTTAATATATTTATTTATATTTTGAATATTTAAATTAACATATTGTTAAGAAATATATACTTTATCTTTTATTTCACATTATCAAAAAAATATAATCTAAATATTCTAATATGTTTATATAAGTTAACTCCATTAAGCTTTTAACTCATGGAACTAATATGTATTAAAATACGATGTTAGTTACTATAATTTTATTTTTTTAACTTTTAAAGCATATTTTTTAAAATGTAAGGTGCAGATGATGATCCGCGTATTGTCAGAATATGTCAGAGTTTCAGTTAAAGCGTCGATGACGTTCCGCGTCTTCCCTTACGTATTGTCAGCTCGAACAAAACTTACGAATGAGCGAATGGTGAATTGGACATTATCGGAAAGAGTGTTAGATAAGTAAAATTATGAGAAAGAGTATTTGACAAGTAATTATTACCTCTGGTGGTGATATTTCAACCCAAAAATTAGCCTTCCCAATTTTATATAAGATTAAAACTTAAATAAAAAATAAAATATGAAAAAAAATATATAGGAGACGTATTATACTTCATGCGTCTCTCTCAAAATTTATTTTGACTAGCATGAACTGTAATACTTCTTTGGGAGTAGAAATAATTCTGAGGCTGTACTATTTGAACAATTTTTTTAAAAGTGCATTATAGTAAAAAAAAATCGGCCGACTTTTAACTCTTGAAGTGGGGAAATGTCAAAAGGCTGCAGAATCCTTACACCAACTGCACCGGCACTAGCAGCAGCTGAACCATAATCACTGCTAGCTAAAACATCGTATATATTACTGGTTTTAGACCTGCAGCTATTGCCCATGGGATCATCACCATAAGTTGGAAATGGACGGTTATGATTCTCGTAGTTAGCCATGATCATCTTCCCAGGTACGAATAATGGAGTAATATACTACTTGGAAGCTTCACACCTAAATCAAACAGCTTTAATGCTACTCTACTCTCTTTGGCTCCAAGCGCATGCTCATAATGAAACCACTTTCCCCATTTAGGAAACTGCTCTTTTTCATCAAATGAACCACGAATCTCCCCTAAACTTGCAAATAAGGTCCCCAACCACCTCACCACACTATTACCCTTTTGAATAGGAAGACAGAATAAAGAAGAAGAAATTTAAAGGATGAGATGATATGGCAATGAGTATCATTTTCCTTTTCCTCTTCAAAGGAAACCGCCAGATTATAAATATTGTAGAAAACCAACAAATGACTAGTTGATATGTATAGCCCCATAATGTGGCGTGGGTTTTAGATTTTAAGAAATAGGGATATGTGTTGCCTTGCTTTGCTTCATGCTTCCAACATTAGCACCACAAGTAGACAAAATAGTAAAATGCCATTCATTTGACAAAGTTTACCAATGCTCCTTTGTCTTTAAATTATAGGATATTATTTGAATTGTTTGATTGTTAAAAGTTGAAATGACCATCTAGCTCAGTTGGTAGAGCATAAGGTTTTAATTTTGAGATCGTGGAATCGAGTCTTTCATAATTCGGAGGTCTTCTACGGAAGCTGCTCTCAATCTAGTGTTGGGGCATCCTACTATCTTACCTCCCCTTATCCCATTACATATGGGAACAAGGGACATCCATTTTGATTGTTAAAAGTTTTAAAATCATAATCTGATTATTTATATGTTTTAAATTTTTTCACTATGTTTTAAATTTTTTAATTTTATTAAAAATTAACAATAATCTGAGATGGTCATTAATCTATTAATTGAGATATAATAAAAATTGATTTCAAAATTATTTGAGTTATTTTATAGATTATATGCTTCGTTTATACTATATCACCATTTGCTTAAAATATTATGATGTTAAGCTAGTGTTTGAAAACAACGATGATATTAATATATATTATTAAACTATAATTTTATTATATCTCAATTAAAATATTAACGTCTAATTAAGATTATTGTTATTTTTTAACAAAAATTAATAAATTTAAATTATATAAATAATCAAATAATTATTTTATAATTTTTAACAATTAAAGATTCAATAAAATAATATTTTATAATTAAAATATTATTTTATAAATTTTAATAATTAAAAAACTCAATAAAAGATCGTCTGATCACTACCCGTAAATTATTTGTGTACTTCACCTTTTCTTTTCTCTGTCTTTATTCTTTAAGTCAACCGCCTCCCATTTATCGTTTTGTAATTTGCGCATGTAAAGCCGAAAACGCCGTACTTTTGCCACTTGGAAAACCAACCAGGGACAGGATTTGGGCACCCAATTTTCCCTAACATCCATTCTTTATGCAATACTTGCTGTAAAGCTTAACAAATCAATTTAATTAATGGAGAGAGAGAGAGAGGAAGGGGCATGATTTGATAGAACATCTCGTTGCCCTCTATGTTTTTTGAGGATAATTTATGAGCATAATATTTATTTATTAAAATAGTTAATTTATTGGAATAAATTTTATTTATACTTATTTGCAAAATGCAATGTGAAGCAGCTAGATTGTTTGGCAGTAAAAGAAGGCATAGGACAAAAGTATAGGGGAGGTGATAAAGATATTCCAATGTCTTATTTAGGGAATGGGCATCAGACCCAAATTCGATGATTTTGACTCGATTCGATTTGATCGGGTCTAGTTTTTCTAAAAAATTTTAGGTTTGGTCGGATCGGATTGGATTTTTTGATGTAGTGTTCGGGCTGTGTCGGTCTCGTATGGAGGGTAAAAAAATCAGACCCGACCCGGAAAAAATATATAATTTTATCATATATATTTAGAAATAATTATAATAATACCCCTCTATATATTATTTTTTTTAATTAAGTCTATTTTTATTGAATAAAAATATGTTTTATTATTTCGAGTCGAGTCGGGTTTTTAAGTTATATATCGAGTCGAGTATAAAAAAAATTGGTCAGATCAATCAGGTCTCGGGTGAAGGATTTCTTATTCTCAGATCCGATCGAATGGACTAAAAACTCGACCTAACCCGACTTATGTCCATACCTAATCTTATTGGAATAGAGGTGGCAATCCAGTATGGTTTCTTGTACACTGACTCAAGGGTGGACAACCCATCAACAATCACCATGTAAACGTGTTCACTTTTACTAACATTTAAATTTAAGTAATTATTCTACAAACTCTCATAGTAATTTTTAGGTAAAATAATTAAATATTATTTTAAAAAATAATTATGATTTTAATTTAAAAATTAGGTGATTTGGAATTGATTTGAATTAAATTGATTAGGAGTCGCGATCGACCATTGGATTATGTAAGTCGAATACTTAAACACGTCTTTTAAAAAAAACTTAAGAAAAATCGTTTTCAAGACAAAAAAACTGATATGCTTTTACAAAGATTCGATTAAAACAGGTTCGAGAGTCGGTTACGTGTGGGAAGGATTAACACCCCCACACCCAAAATTGGTACTGTGTCGCTTACACGTTGTCATAGTAGTGGAATTTATGAATCAAATATAAAATTAAAATATGATCCGTTTATTGAATATTGATTACTTTGCTTCAAATTAATTAATTAGAGAAAATTCTTTAACTCAATTTTCATTTATAAACTTAAAAGACCAAAATAGTAAAACAGACACTTAAGGGATTAAATAATAAATACTGGAAAATTAATGTCTAAAAAGTAAAATAATTAATACAACCCATAATGTAAAAAAACATATTTCAAACACTAAAATATAATAAACCCATACAATTAAGAATAAAATATAAATTATCCAAAATTAAAGGTTAAAATCAAAATAATTAAAAATATATAAATACAGTGACCAAAATAGATACGCGTAACATAATATGGAAAATCAGAAGCAATAATATTTAGTGAAGACTTAACATATAAATAAACCCACAAATAATATTATGACAACACGGTGACTAAAATAGAACGCATGCAAAATAAAAGTATCAAACATAATAATAATCAATTTCATTTTATGACTGAAATAACATATTATAAAACCTGAAGGGCCTAAAATGTAATATGCCCAAAATTAAAAACACGGATAGAAGGGTGTGTCAAAACGACACCATTTTCGCATAGGTATTTAAACCCAACCCAAGGCTTAAAAATTTCATCTCCCTCATTTTTTTCATTCTAAAAACCAAAGGGAAGAGAGAAATTTAAGAATTCTCTCAACTGCCCTCGTCGGAGATAGGAAGCCGCGACGGAGTCGCGGTGACAAGCGGCGGCCAGAGGAAACTAAAAGGACACCAAAATGTTCATCTCCTCACCCCCAACACGAATCCACTCCTCCTTTAACCTAAAACCCACCCTAGTACCCCAGATCTGGTATTTACCTTTCAAACAAAAAAGAAAATCTAGCGACTTTAGAGCTTCCAAGGTAAGGGATTTCACGCTTTGATAT